AAGTATTTAGAAATGAAAAGGGGTTATTCTGACCCACTTTAAGAGGGGGAATACTGTCCATACTTATTCAAACAAAACAAAATTCCAACAGCTAAACTCTCTCCATTCTCGCCTGAGCTGCTTGTCCTCGGGCATAATATTCTCAGCACTTACACCACAATAGTTTCCAGGGCACAATGTTTCCAGGGCATTAGCGCCTTGCTTCCAGCACATTACAGCACGGCAGATTTTGGGGTGAGGTTTTAAAAAAAAAGGCCAACTTCAGAGCGCATATACAGCTCCTGCTCTGACGCCAGTTCACACCAAGATTCGGGATTACCACGACACATCCGTTACTGGAAAATCCCTGGCAATTCCAGGACATCTCGGTATTCCAGTTATTTGAAGGGAAGCGCTTCAGAGGATCCCACAGCGTTCCTGGGCCTCTGGGTGTTCTTGGACCTTTCGGCGTTCCAGGGCCTCTGGGCGTTCCAGGGCCTCTGGGCGTTCCAGGGCCTCTGGGCGTTCCTGGGCCTTTGGGCGTTCCTGGGCCTTTGGGCGTTCCTGGGCCTTTGGGCGTTCCTGGGCCTTTGGGCGTTCCTGGGCCTTTGGGCGTTCCTGGGCCTCTGGGCGTTCCAGGGCCTCTGGGCGTTCCAGGGCCTCTGGGCGTTCCAGGGCCTCTGGGCGTTCCAGGGCCTCTGGGCGTTCCAGGGCTTCTGGGCGTTCCTGGGCCTCTGGGCGTTCCTGGGCGTTCCTGGGCGTTCCTGGGCCTCTGGGCGTTCCAGGGCCTCTGGGCGTTCTTGGGCCTTTGGGCGTTCCAGGGATCTGGGCGTTCCAGCGACCTGAAGAGAAGAACTTCTGGAGTATTACAGGTCTACAGTGCTCGGAGTCAACTTCCAGCCCTCTCAAGCAGTTCCATACACCAAGTATTACATGATGTTAAACGATCTATACGTGTCTAGTGATAACTTGATCGGAAAGGCTGTTGCTAGCGGCGGCCCGCAGGTCCCCCCTTATATAATACGACACGGCTGATCATGCGCTTCCTTCAAGAATTTCTCAACTTGCATCTTGAAACGTTTCCATCCATTGGCGTCCCGGGAATATTTCCTGTTTGAGCTTGAGGAGACTTAAGCCTCGGATGTTCATACGGTCCTCTCTTATTCAGACTATAAACATCTTGTGTGCCTCCTAGGGTGTCTACATCCTAGGGTGTCTACATCCTAGGGTGTCTACATCCTAGGGTGTCTACATCCTAGGGTGTCTACATCCTAGGGTGTCTACATCCTAGGGTGTCTACATCCTAGGGTGTCTACATCCTAGGGTGTCTACATCCTAGGGTGTCTACATCCTAGGGTGTCTACATCCTAGGGTGTCTACATCCTAGGGTGTCTACATCCTAGGGTGTCTACATCCTAGGGTGTCTACATCCTAGGGTGTCTACATCCTAGGGTGTCTACATCCTAGGGTGTCTACATCCTAGGGTGTGTACATCCTAGGGTGTGTACATCCTAGGGTGTGTACATCCTAGGGTGTGTGCATCCTAGGGTGTGTACATCCTAGGGTGTGTGCATCCTAGGGTGTGTACATCCTAGGGTGTGTACATCCTAGGGTGTGTGCATCCTAGGGTGTCTACATCCTAGGGTGTGTGCATCCTAGGGTGTCTACATCCTAGGGTGTGTACATCCTAGGGTGTGTACATCCTAGGGTGTCTACATCCTAGGGTGTGTTTATCCTAGGGTGTCTACATCCTAGGGTGTGTACATCCTAGGGTGTGTACATCCTAGGGTGTGTACATCCTAGGGTGTGTTTATCCTAGGGTGTCTACATCCTAGGGTGAGTATATCCTAGGGCTGCAGATAACTTATCAACAAACACAGTATCGAACACTCATATACCGAAGGACAGCCGCTTCAAAAGCATCACGGCCGCAATAGAGCTTAGTCGCAAACGACCGCAATATTAGAAACCATATGAACAACCCCTGTAAGGATTGCCACCTGTCATTCCAGCGTTCTTAACGACCCTGCACATATATACCCGTTCCAGGAAGATGATTCGGTGGTTCCAGGAGACACACACACTCGCCCTCCAGCGCCTTCCACGGGCTTGGGGAGAGAGAAATCCAAGAGAGAAATCTTCGTGGCAACACTCCAGCGGCGCCATTACTGGAGTGGCAACACAATGGCTCTTTGTTTGTGCTTTGGTCGATCATGCGCCTCTGGTAATGCACTACTGCTGTACTACGGTAACCTGGTGGTACCTGCCTGGAGACCACTGTACCTGCCTGAAGACCACTGTACCTGCCTGGAGACCCCTGTACCTGGGGGTACCTGCCTGGAGACCACTGTACCTGCCTGGAGACCCCTATACCTGGGGGTACCCGCCTGGAGACCACTGTACCTGCCTGGAGACCACTGTACCTGGTGGTACCTGAAAGGAGACCACTGTACCTGCCTGGAGACCACTGTACCTAGTGGTACCTGCCTGGAGACCACTGTACCTAGTGGTACCTGCCTGGAGACCACTGAACCTGGTGGTACCTGCCTGGAGACCACTAGGTACTACACCAACTGGGTAGTGACCACACCTGCCTGCGTCACCACCACACCTGCCTGCGTCACCACCACACCTGCCTGCGTCACCACCACACCTGCCTGCGTCACCACCACACAAGCCTGCGTCACCACCACACAAGCCTGCGTCACCACCACACCTGCTTGCGTCACCACCACACCTGCCTGCGTCACCACCACACCTGCTTGCGTCACCACCACACAAGCCTGCGTCACCACCACACAAGCCTGCGTCACCACCACACAAGCCTGCGTCACCACCACACAAGCCTGCGTCACCACCACACCTGCTTGCGTCACCACACACACACAAGCCTGCGTCACCACACACACACAAGCCTGCGTCACCACACACACACAAGCCTGCGTCACCACACACACACAAGCCTGCGTCACCACACACACACAAGCCTGCGTCACCACACACACACAAGCCTGCGTCACCACACACACACAAGCCTGCGTCACCACACACACACAAGCCTGCGTCACCACACACACACAAGCCTGCGTCACCACACACACACAAGCCTGCGTCACCACACACACACACAAGCCTGCGTCACCACACACACACACAAGCCTGCGTCACCACACACACACACAAGCCTGCGTCACCACACACACACAAGCCTGCGTCACCACACACACACAAGCCTGCGTCACCACACACACACAAGCCTGCGTCACCACACACACACAAGCCTGCGTCACCACACACACACAAGCCTGCGTCACCACACACACACAAGCCTGCGTCACCACACACACACAAGCCTGCGTCACCACACACACACAAGCCTGCGTCACCACACACACACAAGCCTGCGTCACCACACACACACAAGCCTGCGTCACCACACACACACAAGCCTGCGTCACCACACACAAGCCTGCGTCACCACACACACACAAGCCTGCGTCACCACACACACACAAGCCTGCGTCACCACACACACACAAGCCTGCGTCACCACCACACAAGCCTGCGTTACCACCACACAAGCCTGCGTCACCACCACACAAGCCTGCGTCCCCACCACACAAGCCTGCGTCACCCCCACACAAGCCTGCGTCACCACCACACAAGCCTGCGTCACCACCACACAAGCCTGCGTCACCACCACACAAGCCTGCGTCACCACCACACAAGCCTGCATCACCACCACACAAGCCTGCATCACCACCACACAAGCCTGCGTCACCACCACACAACTCCCACACCTGCCTGCGTCACCACCACACAACCCCCACACCTGCCTGCGTCACCCCCACACCTGCCTGCGTCACCACCACACAACCCCCACACCTGCCTGCGTCACTCCCACACCTGCCTGCGTCACCACCACACAACCCCCACACCTGCCTGCGTCACCACCACACCTGCCTGCGTCACCACCACACAACCCCCACACCTGCCTGCGTCACCCCCACACCTGCCTGCGTCACCACCACACAAGCCTGCATCACCAAAACACAAGCCTGCGTCATCACCACACAAGCCTGCGTCACCACCACACAACTCCCACACCTGCCTGCGTCACCACCACACAACCCCCACACCTGCCTGCGTCACCACCACACAACCCCCACACCTGCCTGCGTCACTCCCACACCTGCCTGCGTCACCCCCACACCTGCCTGCGTCACCACCACACAACCCCCACACCTGCCTGCGTCACCCCCACACCTGCCTGCGTCACCATCACACAACCCCCACACCTGCCTGCGTCACCCCCATACCTGCCTGCGTCACCCCCAAACAAGCCTGCATCACCACCACACAAACCTGCGTCACCACCACACAACTCCCACACCTGCCTGCATCACCACCACACAAACCTGCGTCACCACCACACCTGCCTGCATCACCACCACACAAACCTGCGTCACCACCACACCTGCCTGCGTCACCACCACACAAGCCTGCGTCACCACCACACAAACCTGAGTCACCACCACACCTGCCTGCATCACCACCACACCTGCCTGCATCACCACCACACAAACCTGCGTCACCACCACACCTGCCTGCGTCACCACCACACAAACCTGCGTCACCACCACACCTGCCTGCGTCACCACCACACCTGCCTGCGTCACCACCACACAAACCTGCATCACCACCACACAAACCTGCGTCACCACCATACAAGCCTGCGTCACCACCACACAAGCCTGCGTCACCACCACACCTGCCTGCGTCACCACCACACAAACCTGCGTCACCACCACACCTGCCTGCGTCACCCCCAATCAAGCCTGCATCACCACCACACAAACCTGCGTCACCACCACACCTGCCTGCATCACCACCACACAAACCTGCGTCACTACCACACCTGCCTGCATCACCACCACACAAGCCTGCGTCACCACCACACCTGCCTGCGTCACCACCACACAAACCTGCGTCACCACCACACCTGCCTGCGTCACCACCACACAAGCCTGCGTCACCACCACACAAACCTGCGTCACCACCACACCTGCCTGCATCACCACCACACCTGCCTGCGTCACCACCACACAAACCTGCGTCACCACCACACAAGCCTGCGTCACCACCACACAAACCTGCGTCACCACCACACAAACCTGCGTCACCACCACACAAGCCTGCGTCACCACCACACAAGCCTGCGTCACCACCACACAAGCCTGCGTCACCACCACACAAACCTGCATCACCACCACACAAACCTGCATCACCACCACACAAACCTGCGTCACCACCACACAAACCTGCGTCACCACCACACAAGCCTGCGTCACCACCACACAAGCCTGCGTCACCACCACACAAACCTGCGTCACCACCACACCTGCCTGCGTCACCACCACACAAACCTGCGTCACCACCACACAAACCTGCGTCACCACCACACCTGCCTGCATCACCACCACACCTGCCTGCGTCACCACCACACCTGCCTGCATCACCACCACACCTGCCTGCGTCACCACCACACCTGCCTGCATCACCACCACACCTGCCTGCGTCACCACCACACAAGCACCTCAACAAATTATAACAATTACAAAATTCTCGAATACGATTTTCGTCAATAATTATGCCTTTAATTATCGCTACGATAATTATCGCTGCTGATATATGTAAATTGGACATTACAGCATATTACCGATAGCACCAATATTTTAGCACAAAAATAAATAAAAAATGAGGGGTATAAATGGAGTGTTTTGGAGGCAAGTGTAGTTGAGTGAGAGAGCAGCAACAGTCCTGTTGTCTCGTGGACTCCGAGCCGGACTTGGCTTTAAAAGTCCCAGTCGAACGGACTTATTTTTTGGGGTTTGGGGAGGGGTGATGTGAGGAAGGGGATGGGTAAGGGGGAGATGAGGGAATAGCGGTGAGTTCACTCATAGGATGAGTGGCGATGGCCAATACTGTCACTATAGCGGTGTGTTCACTTCATAGGGTGAGTGGCGCTGCCCAATACTGTCACTATGGCGGTGTGTTCACTCATAGGATGAGTGGCGCTGCCCAATACTGTCACTATGGCGGTGTGTTCACTCATAGGATGAGTGGCGCTGCCCAATACTGTCACTATGGCGGTGTGTTCACTCATAGGATGAATGACGCTGCCCAATACTGTCACTATGGCGGAGTGTCCACTCACAGGATGAGTGGCGCTGCCCAATACTGTCACTATGGCGTGTGTTCACTCACAGGATGAATGATGCTGCCCAATACTGTCACTATGGTGGTGTGTTCACTCACAGGATGAGTGACGCTGCCCAATACTGTCACTATGGCGGTGTGTCCACTCACAGGATGAGTGGCGCTGCCCAATATTGTTACTATGGCGGTGTGTTCACTCATAGGATGAGTGACGCTGCCCAATACTGTCACTATGGCGGTGTGTTCACTCATAGGATGAGTGGCGCTGCCCAATACTGTCACTATGGCGGTGTGTCCACTCACAGGATGAGTGGCGCTGCCCAATATTGTTACTATGGCGGTGTGTTCACTCATAGGATGAGTGACGCTGCCCAATACTGTCACTATGGCGGTGTGTTCACTCATAGGATGAGTGGCGCTGCCCAATACTGTCACTATGGCGGTGTGTCCACTCACAGGATGAGTGGCGCTGCCCAATACTGTCACTATGGCGGTGTGTCCACTAACAGGATGAGTGGCGCTGCCCAATACTGTCACTATGGCGGTGTGTCCACTCACAGGATGAGTGACGCTGCCCAATACTGTCACTATGGCGGTGTGTTCACTCACAGGATGAGTGGCGCTGCCCAATACTGTCACTATGGCGGTGTGTCCACTCACAGGATGAGTGGCGCTGCCCAATACTGTCACTATGGCGGTGTGTC